AACAGCAGCAGCATGAGGAAAGAAGCAGAGGTACAAACGCTTGCAAGCGGAGGGCAGGACTGGCAGCTGCTGCCGCCGCAGCTGCTGTCTGTGGATTGGAGCGGAGAAGGCCAGAAGGTGAAGGGAGAGCAGCTGGTTGAGTTGCTGCGGTATCAGAACGAGTTGCTGCAGCAGCAGCTTCAGCAGGCAGAGGAAGCAGCAGCAGCAGCACGTCGTCTGCATGAGCAGCAGCTGCGCGATGCCCGTGAAGCTGCTGCTGTTGCGCTGCAGCGAGAGAAGGAGAAATGTAACGCTGAGGTGCTGCAGCAGCAGCAGCAGCATGCAGCAGCAGTGCAAGCCATGTGGCGTCAGCTAGATCTCCGTCTCCGTCACATAGAAGACGATATTTCTGTAGATGTTGAAGTCCTCTCTGCCTCCTCCTGCCTGAAACCCCAGCCCCAGCCAGCTGCTAAACAAGACCAAGCCCAGCGAGCTCCTCCCCCTGCTGCTGCTCCTGCTGCAGCTGCTGCTGCACCTGCTGCTGCAGCTGGTGCAGCACCTGCAGCAACAGCAGCAGTTGCTGCTGAAGAGGTGGGGGCTGAAGGGCCTGGCGAGCAGCAGACGGCGTTGGCAAGAGTTAAGAAACTGGAGGCCCTCATGGAGGAGCGACTGCGGGCGCGAGATGCAGCAGCAAATGAAGTGAAGAAGCTGCTGCAGCAGACGCTGCAGCGCTGCGCTGAGTATAAGCGGGAGAGCGACACACGGTGGGGGGAGTGGAAGCAGTGTGAAGACCTGAGAAGCAATTTGCTGCAGCTGCTGCCAGCAGCAGACACCAAAGAAGACAGGCGTTCCGGTGTACCTGCAGCAGCAGCAGCAGCAGCAGCAGCAGCAGCAACAGCAGCAGGAGGCAGCGGAGATCCAGTAGCAGCAACACGGCAGGCTCTAAACGAACGGCTGCATGCGCTGCTCGATAGGAGCGGCTGCATGCGTCCTCTGGCATCTATGATGGAGCAGCAGCTGCTGTCTGCTCTTGTTGAGTGTCTCTGCATGCAGCAGGCGCAGCAGGCGCAGCACCGGCAGGCGCAGCTGGAGTTGCTGCGGCTATCCCACCAGCAGCAGCAGGTGCAACAGCAGCAGGTGCAGCAGCAGCAGCAGCAGCAGCAGCAAGGCGAGTTCGCAGGTGCAGCCAACAAAGCTGGAGGAAGAAATAACATGGCAACCATGCAGAAGGAACTGCTGCTAGAGGAGAAAGCGAGAAGACTGCAGACGCGCAACCAGCGGCTGCTGAGGACTTGTGAATATCTCCGCCTGAAAGTTGAACACGTACAGAAGTGGAAAGCTGAAGACTCCTTCTTCACCCAGACGCAGCAACAAGTTCAGGTGTACAGACACCTCGAGGACAGCAACGCCACGCTAGAAGGAGAAGAACCCGCAGCAGACCACGGGAACGCGCCGTCAGGGGAGGAGATGCAGCAAAGCATGCAGAAACAACAGCAGCAACAACAGCAACAGCAGCAGCAGCAGCAGCAGCGAAGGGAGCAGCTTCTGGCGTGGCTGGAGCAGGAGGACACAGCTGAAGTTATTGATAGAGACGCTGAGCTGCTGCAGCTGCTGAAGACGCTGCATAGACACCCCAAGACGGCATTTGGAGAGGAAGAGGAGGCGGAGACGAGAGCCACATCAGCAGAAACAGAAGAAGTTGAAAACTGCATTTCTGTTGCTCCTGAAACAAAGAAACGACTCCTAGAACTCTTCTGGCTGCTCCTGGGCGACTTCTACAGGTGCCCCCAACAGCTAGCTAGCTAGCTAGCTAGCTAGCTACCTACCAGCTAGCTACTTGCACGAGCTAGCCACCACTGAACACAACAGCTAGCTAGTTATACGGGCTAGCCACCAGTGAACTCTGTAGCTAGCCAGGCACACGAGCTAGTCTCCACCCTATCCACCAGCTAGCTGCAGACACACAGACGGAGCTGCAGCTGACACTCTGTCGCCCCCCGCCTCAGTTGTCTTCCTTTCTCGTCGTTGTAGTTTTCTTTAGCTTGCTTTTGCTGCTGAAATGCTTTTTTGTGGTTTGTTTGTTGGCTCTGTGTCTGTGTCGGGTTCAGGTTCAAGGCGAGGCTGGAGGAGGGCCGGCACCAGCTGCAGCAGATGCAGGAAGAGGCGCGAGCAGCGCAAGAGGAGAAACTAGCAGTGGAAGAGGTGAGGCTTTTCCTCTCAACATCCTGGGGTGTACATACAGCACCCTGATCTGTGGCTGTGTGCATGCAGAAGATTTGCAAACGCATTCGGTTACTTCTGTCTATTCAACTTTTTCTTGATTATGCATACTCTTCGTGGTTATATTACTTTTCTTTGTGTGCATAGATGTTTTTTTTCGTCGATGAATATTTTTGTGTTTACTGATATTCTTTGTTTATGTGGACCTTCTTTGTGTGCGTTGAACTCCCTGCTGTTTGTGTATTGAATTTCATTCTGTGTATTGATATTTTTTCTTTGTGTTTCCTCGCCTATATCATGTTTATTCATCTTTTTTTTTGTTTATTAAACTGCAGGCAGCAGAAAAAGAACGCCGTTCTCTGGTTTCTCTCTACGAGAGAAAGCTACAAAGCGAACGAACGAAAGCAAACAAAATCGTGGGCCGGACGATGGTCAAACTGCTGGTGAGAAGAAATTCAATGAAAGCGAAAACTTGAAATTTAATTTCAGTTTTCAGCACAAGTCCACATCTGCTGCGCTCCTTGTGTTCCTCTTCGAGTGCATGCAGCATTTGTTTGTTTATATCTTCTATTTTTTTTATTTTATTTCGCCGCAGGTAGCTCAAGAAGAAGCAGAGATACTGCAGAAAGGGAGAGAAAGACAACAGGATGAACACGAAGCCCTCGTGCATGTGTTACACCAGGCCGACAGCAAACGCTTCAATGCAATTCTTGTTCGTCTCCTCTTTTCATTTTATTTTTTTATTTATTCTGTTTTTGTTTCGGACTTGCAATAGGCACAAAAAGAGAAAGCTGCCTTCTTTCTCATATACATATCCCTCCTAGCAGTTGCCTTCTTGCTGCTGCTGCTGCTGCTGCTGCTGCTGCTGTTGCTGCTGCATAGCAGCAGCTAACTGCTGGCTCGCTGCAGCATATATGTGTCCCCTCTGATGATGAAAATTGTTTAATTTTATTCTGCTGCTGCAGACAAAGCTGGAGGCCATTGAAACCCAAAACCGCGTGCTGCATAAAAGAGAAGAATTTTGGAATCGTCTGGCGAAGGTAAATAGATGAAGACAATACAACAAACAGAGAAAAATTAAATGCAGTGTTTGTGTTTACTGTATGTATACTTCATATATTATATTATATATATAATATAATTTATTTATAGTGTTTGTTTTTGTTGGTGCTGGGGCGTATCTTCACTCAGGCGTTGTCTACGCAGCTGACGCGGCCGTCTGAAACAACACAGCGGGCCGTTGAGGATCTGTGGGCGCAGTTGGTTGGCTCGAAGGCTTTGATTGAAACAAATAAACTCATCACCAACACCTGCATCTCTCCTTTCTTGCTGCTGCTCCCAGACACAAACAAAACAAATACAGATTCAGGAGATAACACCGCAAGGACAAACAGCTCCAGGCGTGCAGCCAGCACCGCAACTGCTGCTGCTGCTGCTACCGCTGCTGCTGCTGCAGGGAAGGGGCCTGTGCGCTCTGTGTCGAGACTCAGCAGCAGATATCAAAGCAGATCTACAGCAGCAACGCCAACAGCAGCAACAGCAGCAGCAGCAAAGGCGTCATCAAAGGCCCGCGGTTCTTCTCCTGCTTTGGGTGCGAGGACTCCGAGAAGTGCAGCAGCTTCTGCTGCAGCAGCAGCAGCAGCAGAAACTGCAGCAGCAGAAACTGCAGCAGCGGGTTCAGCAGCAGCAGAAGATATGTGGAGTGCATCGGATTCGTTTGCTCGCTGTTTGCAAGAGATCTGTTCCCAAACCGAAGTAGGAGAGCCGTCAAGCAGCAGCAGCAGCAGCAGCAGCAGCAGCAAGAACACTTCTGCTGCTGCATCTCCTAGGGAGACAGCAGCAAGAGGAGGGTCTGAGGGTTGGATGGGGGACCGCAGCGACTCTGAATGCGAAAGTGATGAATATAAATGCATAGAAAAGAAATATATTTTCGACTCGGCGTCAGGAGAAACAACAGAAACAACGACAAAGAGAAGAGGAAATGAAAACAAAGCAAAAATGCCAAACGATTGGCTGGCTGTGCTCAAACTGATGATCCAGGAGGCTACAGCACTGCTGCGAAAACAGAAGGAGATTAAAGAAAAAGAAGTAAGGAGACGCAGCTACTCTCGGGCTATCTATATATTGTTTGTTTCTCTGTTTGAATCTGTTACACAACACGCTTTCTGTCGCTTTGCCGATTCATTTTTCTCCGTGTTTCCTCTTTTCTCGCTGAGACTGAGGCAGAGCTGTTTCCTTCGTCTCTGCCTTCATTTCCCTCTGTTTCATAAGCGCTGCTTGACTCCTAAAGGGTTTGGGGTTTAGGGTTTAGGGTTTGGGGTTTAGGGTGTATTGTGTACTGGATAGAGCGAAACTACAGTCAAACGATTCGCGTTGCTTTCGTGTCAGTGATGTATATTTTGTTGAGTCTTAAAGAGGGAATACAACAAAACCCAAAAGGGAAACATAAAATAATAAGAAAGGCAAAAATTTCTTTTTTCACAAAAAAATTCAACTTTCGAGTGTATGTGCAACTTTTGCAGATTGAGGAGCTGAAACGTGAAAGAGAAGGACAAATTGAAAAGAACAAAAAGGCAAGAAATAATTAATATTAATATATTTATATAATAATATAAATATACTTCTATTTGTTCTGAAATACATTTAATGTTTTACTTTTATCATCGTTTTAATCGTAGCTTTCCCGCTTTCGTTCAAATCACAGAAAACACGAAAGCCTCGCCACCACCGCCAGTTGAAAACATTTTTTTTTGTTTGGCTGAAAAGATGAATTTTTTATAATTTATTTATTTATTTTTTTCGTGATTGATTGGCTTCTCTCCTCTTCAGAGTCTTAGCAGTTCGACTGCATTCCTCTTCTCTCTCTTAGTTGCTTTATTTCAGCTTTCTTCTCAATTCCTTTACTTCCCCTTAACTATTCTATTTACGCTTCCTTATCCTTTTTAATTGTTTCATTTCAAGTTTATTCTTCTTAATTGTTTTATTTTTGTTCTCGTTTCTTTTATTTTTTTATTTCGGTATTTTGCTTCGTATGCCTGCAGCTGACGCTGCAACTCACTGACGTTCAACTTCAGTGGACGTCGCTGCGGGATCAACACGAGTTTTTGCAACACCAGGTTAAACCCTAAACCCTAAACCCTAAACCCTAAACCCTAAGTTTTTACACATATGATGTCTCTTGGCTTTCTTGTGCAGTAACACTTCTGCTGTTTCATATCCCTGCTGCGCTATGTATCTATTAATATTTGCTTATAGATGCTTGCTTTGAAATACATTAAATTATTTTATTTATGTAACAAATGAAAGAGTGAATGTATTTGTTTATTTTTTCTGTTTTGTTTGCAGCATGAGTTGGCAATAGATGCCTTAAAGCGCGTGCATACGGAGCGATCGAAAACAGAGAAAATGAAGAGAGAAGCCGAAGAAGAATTAAAATCAGAAATAACAAAATACAGAGTCAGTGAAAAAGAAGCAAAAAAAATAATTCAAGCCGTCGCGATGCATGCAGCAAACGTCCCCTATATCCAAACACTATGCAGCTCTTTCTTAGCTGCAGCAGCAACAGCAGCAGCAACAGCAGCAGAAACAGCAGCAGCAGCAGACCAGCAATTGAATACAAGTGAATCTATGGATACTAATCCAAATGCTGTTGAAGAAGTAGAAAAAGAAAACATCTCAAGTGAAGAGAACTCAGCAGAAACAAAGAGGAATGACAACCGCGTACAAACGCGCAGACTCGTTCCATCTGCTGCTGCTGCTGCTGCTGCTGCTGCTACTTCTGCTGCTTCCCCGCTGCTGCCTCCGGGTGAAATGCCGCATCCAGCGAGCTGGGTAAGCAGAAAACCAAAAGGCGAAGCCAGCAACAGCAGCAGCAGCAGCAGCAGCAAGGAGGAGGCTGAAGCCACCCCGTGCCCCTCGCAGCACAGCAGCCAACGGGGTGTATCTCCACCTCAGGATGATGCCTCCGCTCTAGATATGACTGAGAGCCCGTCACTTCTTTCTCCTTTGCAATGCCCAGCTCCTAACAAGGAGAGACAACCGCAGATGCAGCAGGTGCAACAGCAGCTGCTGCAGCGGGAAGCTGGGTTTATGTATGGAAATTCAAATACAGCAGCAGCAGCAGCAGCAGCAGCAGCAGCAGCATCAGCAGCAGATCTAATCACTTCTTCCTGGAACGCTCTGGTTTCTACACAGGAGGAGGACACTGCCGGCAGCCGCAGCAACAGCAGCAGCAGCAGCAGCAGCAGCAGCTCATTCTGTGCTGATGAGTTCGGCCGCATCTCAAGCACTGCTCTCCCCACCCCCCGGTCCCCCCCTCGTGCAGCTCTGGCTCCTCTTGTTTCTCCCTCGCGCCTAGTGCAGGCGCTGCGCATGCAGGCAATGCCAGCAAACACCAACTGGCGCAGCAGCAACAGCAACAGCAGCAGCAACAGCAGCATCAGCAGGAGCGGCAGAAGTAGCAGCAGCAGCAGCAGCAGACGCATGCGCAGCGGCATCGAGGATCCGCTTCGCTGTACAGACAGCCCAGCACAACGAGGCGATTCAGATGAGACATTTGAAGACAAACAAATGAATAAACAAATAAATAAACAAATAAACAAACAGATAAACAAAGAAACAAACAGAAGCAACGGTGAGAAAGCAGACAAAGATAGCGACAAACAAACGACCGAAACAGCAGCAGCTTACAAGGCGAGTCCCTTGACCAGTGGTCCTGCGGGTGAAGAGGCCGTTGACCGCTCAGCAGCAGCAGCAACAGCAGCAGCAGCAACAGCAGCAGCAGCAGCAACAGCAGCAGCAGCAGCAGCAAGCAGCGAGCAGCACGGGCAAGAAGGAGAGGATTTGAGGCGGAGAGGCAGCAGGGCACACAGCAGGGCGGCTGCTGAGCGGGCGTGGGAAGCCTTTGTGGGGGAGTACAGACACCCCAACCGTGCGCTGCAGCAGCAGCTGCAGCAGCAACTGCAGCAGCAGCTGCAGCACCAGCTGTCTTTGCCTCCTGACAAACGCATGCAGGCCTGGCAGGCGCTGGGGGGAGGGCCTGGCAGCAGCAGCAGCAACGGCAGCAGCAGCAGCAGCAGCAACAGCAGCAGCAAGGATAGCGTGCAGTCGAGCTTCTCACCGCAGGCTGTAGAGGAAGGAGAAGCAGCAGTAACAGCAGCGCTGCTGCGTCTGCAGCACCAACAGCAGCAACGCAAGCAGCAGCAGCAGCAGCAGCAGCAGCAGCAAGGGAGCCTGCTGTGCCCCCCCACGCGAGAGTCAACAGATAGCGGCCTTGAGGACCTTCTTTACCTAGAGCAGCGATTGTGTGGTGAGGATAAGGGAGAAGAAGAACCAGCAGCAGCAGCAGCAGCAGCAGCAGCAGGAGCAGCAGCAGCAGCAGAAACAGCAGCAGCAGCAGCAGAAACAACAGAAGGAACAGAAGCAGCAGATGAAGATGTCTTCATCGCCGACGATACATATCAACTGGGGCTCTCTGCTTCTTCTTTCCTAAGACGCCTCAGCACACAGCTAGAGAGCCGTATGCGCCTAGCATGCAAGAGGTCCCCAGCATTCCACCAATAAATAAATAAATAAATAAATAAATAAATAAATAAATAAATAAATAAATAAATTATTTATTTAGTTGTTTAATTTATTTCGTTTTTATATCTTAGTGTCGCACGGAAATGCTCCATATCAGAGAGATGAGGGGGGCAGTGAAGACAGCAGAAAAAAATAAAAAAAAAAATAAATAAATAAATAAATAAATTAAATCGAATAAATTTAAGTGATGAAGTGTAGAGACAGAATAACAACATTGTTGATATATAATCGGGGTCTTGGGGTTTAGGGTTTAGGGTTTGTGTTTTAGGGTTTAGGGTTTAGGGTTTTGTTTTCTTCTTTCTTTTTAAATGATGCGGCGAGGTTTAGTAGCTGCATCACTCTGATAGAAACAATTTAATTGTTTTATATAATTTATTATTTTGTTTTTGATTAAGAAACCCCTCATTAACAACAAAAAGAAGAAAACGCAAAGGTGTCTGTACACCCCACAACAACTTGAATTATATTTCCCCCGCCAGCACTTCATTTCTTTTCTTTTTTTTTTTTATTTATAGAAATTACACTTTTATTAGATGCAATAGACACTGAAATACATAAATACAAATATAAATAAATACAAATTAAACTAAAAAAAATAAAAATAAGAGGAAATAAATACAACTCGAAAAAAATACAACAAAATAATTATAATTAGAAATTGAAATAAACAAAACGTGAAACGAAGAAAACGTGAAATAAATGCAAATTAAAATAAATACAAATAAAAATAAATAGAAAAAAGAAGAAATAAATACAACTCGAAATAAATGCATATTAAAATAAATAAAAACCGAAATAAATACAAGTAAAAAAAAAAAATATCACTGACTCTGATTTAACCCCAAATATATAAACGTTTATATGCAGCTGAGTTTCTATAGAGTAAGCTGTAAATACGACGAAGTAGTGATTATATTTATATTTTATATAAATATATAAAATATAAATAAAATTACAGAAGCCTTTCTTTATATTTATTATATATGAAATATGTTTTATTTGTACTTAAATTTATTTGTATGTAGAGTTCTTAAATACATAAAATATAATTAATTTTATACTTTAAATATAATTAAGTTTATAAATAAATATTTATAGATATTTTTAATGAATAAATTATTCAATATAAACGTGTCTAACAAAGAAGATATTATTCTTATGTGGGGATACGTTAAGAAAGCTGTAATATATTTTATGAGAATTTGTTTTATTTAAAGTTATTTTTCAGGTATTTTATTGTATTTAAATATAATTTATTAATAATTTATTCTATTTCATCGAGTTTATAAGGAATCTATTCAATATATTTCCCCTCTTATATATATACATATATACAAACACCGGGAGCTTCACGGGGTGTATAGGCAGCTGCCTCTGAGGTCCAATGGTCGGCGGCGGGGTCCCCGCCTTGTTGTATTTTTTTGTAATTTCGGGTATTAAGAGCTCCAAATAACTAAATTTAATTTATTTTAAACTAAAATAAACATAAAAAAAAGAAAATAAATCAAAGAGGGGTCAAACAACACCGGAATGCATGCAGTTTGGGGTGGCGAGCGAGGGTCCCGTTTGTGTGGTTGTTTTGTTCTTTTTTCTGTTCGTTTCTGGCTGTAATTGAGGAGTTTAAAGCATTTATTTTATGTTTATTGGTATTTGTTTGTCTGTTTCTACCCCCAATACCCCTGCTGCTGCATATTTTTCTCTTCTTTTCTCTTGCTTTCTGTCTAGAGCGTTGAAGGCCACCACCGAGCGCCGACTTCTCTCACCAGGCCCAGCACCCCCCAACACAAGCAGCTGTATTTTCTTTTTATTTTCAGCTCTGTATATTCATGTATGTCTTTTGGGTGTACATGAGCTCCAAACGAACTCTTTAATGTACTTTTTAGGTGTACATACACCCCAAACCAACGGTCAGCTCATCCCCCCAAGCCTTCAATCTCCGGCTGCTCTTTTTCTCTTTTCTTCTATAAACAGCTAACCAGCAGCAACTTATTAACCCATTCATTCATAACAAAGAAGAAGAAAGCAGTAACAACTGCAGCAGCGAGTGCATCAGCACCAATACATAAACCAAACCAACACCAGGGATCCTCCTCTTTTTCTTTTTTTTTTTTCTTTTTTTTCTTCTTTCTCCTCAGCAGCAGCATCTTCATATTTATTATAATCATTGTCACCAATTTGGCTTTTCTATAAACAGCAGCAGCATCGTTCTGCTTTAAAAAATAATTACTATCATCAAAAACAACTACCACGATCAGCATCGACTGCAGCAGCAGCAGCAGCAGCAGCAGCAGCAGCAGCAACAGCAACGGGAGCAGCAGGAGCAGCAGCATAGAGTCAAAAGAAGATGTCTTATGAATACCGCCGCACCATTGCTTGGGAGACAGACGAAGCAGAGATAGATGATAGATGGAGTGTAGATACACCCGAACCCAAACCAACTGCAATAGACCCTCGTAAACATCTTCATTATATTCATATTAGCGATGCTGGGCTCGTTGCTACTTTCGTCGGCAGGGGGGATTATACAGATGTAGGGGTAGGTCGAGGGTTTAGGGTTTAGGGTCTAGGGTTTAGGGTTTAGGGTTTAGGGTTTAGGGTTTAGGGGTTACAGCTTAGGGATGCATTCTTCTCTCCGGGTCAGCAACTGTATTTAATGTTGCATCCTCAAGACATTGTTTAGGGTTTAGGGTTTGGAATTTAGGGTTTAGGGTTTAGGGTTTAGGGTTTAGGGTTTGGGTGGGTTGTGCGGACTGCTACTTCTTATTGTGGGGTTTAACCCTCAGTTTGTTTTTTTTTATTATTTTTGTTTTTTTTTCGTTTTTTGTTTGTGTTCATCTCTTTTGGTTTTATTTTATTTTTGTTTTTTTTTGTTTTTTTCTTTTTTTGTATTTCTTCTGTTTCCGTTCTGTGTACTACCCACTGTTCCTGCTTCTCTCATCTGCTGCCTCTGCTGCCGCTGCTGCCGCTGCTGCTGCTGCTGCTGCTGCTGCTTCTGCTGCTGCTGCTGCTGCTGCTCGCGTTTCTTCATCATTTGCTGCTATTCTTTCTGCTGCTGCTGCAGCCACAAACAAACAACGAACCAACCAAATAAAAATAAAAAAAATAAATATAAACAAGCAACGAACGAACCAAACAAAACCAAAATAAATAAATAAATAAATAAATAAATAAATAAATAAATAAATATATTTATGTTCAGGCAGTCCAATCTGACTTTCCTCTCCCTCGTCTTTGTCCTATTTCTTATTTTGAAACAAAAATATTAAAGGGGCCCCCCAATGGCGCCGCTATTTCTGTGGGCCTCGCCCCCGCCTCTGCTCTGCTTAATAGACCCCCAGGCATAGAACCCAGGTTAGGGTTTAGGGTTTAGGGTTTAGGGTTTAGGGTTTAGGGGTTTAGGGTTTAGGGGAAAGGGGAGAGGGGAGAGGGGGGACGGGAGAGGGGAGATGGGAGCGGGGAGAGGGTTTAGGGTTTAGGGCTTTATTAGGGTTTTAGGGGCTAGGGTTTAGGGTTTAGGGTTTAGGGTTGGGTTTAGGGTTTAGGAGTTAGGGTTTAGGGTTTAGGGGTTTTTAATTTGTTTTTTTTGTTTGATTTCTTTTTCTTTTTGTTGCAGTTGGTGGTTTGTCTTGTTTAGTTTGGGTATTTTGTTTTTTTTTGTTTTTTTTTTCTTTTCTCGCTAAACGGTGTTGTTTTTATATATTTTGTTTAGTGTTTTATTATTTTCTCTTTCTTCTCTTTTGTTTCCTGCTTTTCTCCTTTTCATATCTTTGTTTATGTCTTTCTTTTTGTCTCCTTTTGTCTCCTTTTGTCTCCTTTTGTCTCCTTTTGTCTCTTTTTGTCTCTCTTGGCTCCTTTCCCCCAGCATATATATATATATATATATATATATATATATATATATATATACATATATATATA